ACACGCGATACGGCTGCAATAGTAGTCGTCATTCCGAGAACTAACAGTAATGCAAACACACAACCCCATTAGTGGAAATCATTTACAATCAAGGTCTAATTTTGAAGCATTCGCTCATGTCCTGCTACATCTGCTCTGTTTTGTCTTTTTACTCTCCCTCTCTTCTTGGAAATCCCCTTTCCTAGAAGCACAGCAGAGGAGGAGCATTACGATTCTACCCAAAGCTGACGAAGTGGCCAAAGATTCAGGTTCAAATAGTGTGCTGAAGATTGAAGTCCAGATTTATGGTATTATAACCAGGCAGTGAAGCAAAAGCACGAGGGAGTGGAGTGCTAACAGTAAATCCGGAGGTCTGGAGGAAGAACAGGAAGAGTGTGCCCGGGGAAGAGACTCAGAGGGAGGGACTTGCGGGTTGTGATGACTCACAGCTTCTCTTTGGTTGGCTCTGATATCTGGCATCTGGAGCTCATTGACAATAACTCCATGGCAACCAGCAGTTGCGGAATTGTAAACACACTGAGAGACTGGAAAGGGGAGCGGGAATCAGGCTTTCGCTGTTTCTCCACAGTGTGCTCAAAGAGTTCCAGCAGGGCAGTCAGTTTACTGTATAGACACGTGCTGAGGTCAGAGCGAACAACCGAAGGAAAACTACCACACACGCACAAACACAGACCTGCCTGCAGCATTTATGAGTTTAATGTTGACATTATTTTTATTTCACATTGTAAACTCGCCCTTCAGAAGTTTATCTTGCTTGTGAGCACAAGATATAATGTTCTATTTTGTCAGTATTTCCAGAGAATTTGCTTTATTTTGCTGAAACTGTGTGACTAGTTGTAAGTGGTTTATCTTCTGCAACCTTCCTTTTTTTTTTTTTACATAATCAGTACTCAGAAATACAGCAGCTAACCAGCAGCTGCCGGGGGAACAACCTGTTTTTTCTCAGTAGTTCCCCTCCTGGGAACTTGAGTAAACCCATATAAAGCTACATCAGTTTATGTTTCAGTGGCACTTTAAAGTTACAGGGCTTGAGTTTAATGTAAACTTTCTTACATATGAGATCATTTTTGCTGTTACTGACTGGAAAACATGAATCTCTACCGAGTGTGTATGCAAAGCGAAGCCCTGCTTTATGCACTGAACAACCTATCACAGTGTCAGTTCACTAGAAACCATTGCAGTAATGGACACTTTGACATCAGCATCATCAGCAACAACACAGTTGTAAATAACTTTGGATTCCATTTATTTCAGTTTTAAGGTCCTGGTATTATACATCCTCGTGTGCTGTCACACTACTATGTCTTACTGGCAAACATTCACAGAACAGAACTGTCATTATTGGCAAGAAAAAGCAAAACAAAAATGACGCCTCGTAAACCGCCACTCTGCCAATCCCTCAATAAATAATTATATTACACATGAAGAAGTCAATAAAAACAGGCACTGAGGAACTGGAAAGTGTTATCATAAATAAATGCAGTGGGGAAGCACTGGTAGTCATAAATTCAGTATGGCACAATAAGTTTAATAGATATCAGTAAATGTAAACTATGCTGTTTGAGACCCTGAAAGACTTCAGCTGCCATCACAGTCGAGTGCAGCAATCACCTGAGCTTTCACACTTCAACGACTATTTATTCCATATCGCTCATTAGTTTTAAGGTTCATTCTTTGGTACTAATTTTAATTTCTGTCTTTTTTTCTTTCTTTCTTTTTTTTGCATGGTGCCAGAAAATTCAAGAAATTACCAAGTAACCAAGTAAGACATGTTTGGAGAGCCTGGCACACCACATGTTCAGGACTTTTTTTAAAAAAAGAAGACTAAATGAATCACAGCAAACTTTTTACAACTCACTTCTTTCAAGTACAGATAACACTTTTATGAAGTGCACTTCTGTGGAAGCGCACACTTCATCTGCTACATGGAGCTGAAGATGCTAAAGTTCACAGTATTCCACCTCCAGCTTGTAATTACAACTAAGAGGCTGATGTGAATGGATTTTCCCAGCCAGCAGGATATATTTATCTTCAATCTAACATGACCTTAAATACATCACTGTGTTCAAATAAGGAAGTCTGACTGAAGTCTGGGGCATTCTGCTCAGTGATCTGCTTTCTCAGGAACTACTTTAATTTTTATAAAGGCACAGCCTCATTTCTATCACACCATTATGCTAACAACATTGATTTCAGTTCAAATACTATGCTCACAGTGAGGTGATGTTTAAATGTGGCCAAAAATTTATCACACAGTCAACAAGAACTGCCTCCAGCTTGGTTTGACAAAATAAATAAGCGATAATTTGAATGATAAAACCTGAAACACTCCTTCAGGTTACATTATATCTGTTTGTCTTGTAAGGGCACAGATATTCAAAATGTTTTCCTTCCACCCCTATCTGTTCTGTGTTTGGTGTCAACAGTGTGACGGGGTTGAGTACAGCTGCGAGTGCTTCTCGAGAAAGACCTGATGTGGGAGCTGTAACTGGTTTCAGATTGTCAGAGAGGCAGTGACTAGTCAGGCTTGCAGCTATGATGACAATTTCACTACTTGTGTAAGCCCTGCCCTGACTCTTCAGTGGTTGTTCTCTAGAATCACATGACCAGAGACTACCAGAGAATTTCTCCTGAGTGACACGCAAAGCCGGCGTGCTTATTATAGTCCTCCACGGAAGGTCTCAGACTGGTTTCAGCTGCTACAGACTGCCGTGAGGTTCATAGTCTTAGTAATTACCTGATAATGTAGTTTACTTTAGAATACAGGCAGATGTTTTAAACCATTCAAATGCTTGATTTATCTTTACAAGGAAAGCAAAGATTTTTCAATGCAGTGCTGCAGTTTTCTCTGAAATTTCTCTGAGTAAACGATGGTTAGGAAGAAGCGTAAATGAAAGAAAGCATATTTCACCAGAACCATGTTTGAAAAATACATTATTGTAGGCCTCTTCACAGAGCTGTAAGCACCTCAGAGACCCTTCATCTCCCTGTACCTCTCCACTGAGCTCCATGGGCAGAGAGTAAATAGTAAAGTGCCATGGAAGCAGGTACAGCAGGAGCTCTTTTCTGTAATAATGATGGATATGGAGGTTATTGCAGATTTCCATTCATCACGTTTCTATGTGTAGTCTCCCTGACGTGTCCATGCTTTGAGGGGAGATGCAATGAAAGTATTGGAGCTTACGATCCAGTAAGCAATGAAATGTAACAATCATAATCATCAGAGCATGTTTGTGTTAAAAAAAAAACAAAAAAAAACAGTTTTTTTCTTTTGAAAAAATATTGAACAAATGACCCTTCCTTTTGCCACAAACTTGACCTGCACTGCTAGAATAAAATACAGTTCATCTTTTTTTTTATAGTGTATGAGTTATACGTGTACATTACACACTTATGTTTGGGGTCAGCTGGACTGCTGACGAAGGAACAAGAATGAAAGCACTGAATAAATTGTTGTAAAACTCTAATAACAAAATCCAAATAGACTTACTGTCAGTGCAGGAGAGATGGTGGCATGAAATTAATGTTCAATTCAATTCAATTCAATTTTATTTGTATAGCGCATATTTACAACAAGTCATCTCATAGCGCTTAACAAAGGCAGAAACACCCGACAATCCAAAACATTTGGATTCCCTATAAGCTTCAGCAGTCCAAAAGCAGTCCGCAACAGTGGGAAGGAACCGAAAACCCCCACAGGGTTAAAAAACCTCAGACAGAACCAGGCTCAGGGAGGGACGGCCATCTGCCTCGACCAGTTGGGTGGATGTAGGATGAATTATAAAATTTAGTTTACAGTTAAACAAGTTATTAGAAGTTATTGTCCTTTTGTAACAGGAGGCATCATGGTGGGGGCAGCAGGATGCAGAAGGTGAGGCCAGCGGCTGTAATTCAGGAGCTCCAGGTCCAGAGACATCCACAGAGAGAGCAGGCACAGGATATGTTAAATGAATAGTAAAAAAAAAAAAAAAAAGAAAGAAAGAACTGAGGTGCTCTCATGCTAACTCTGACACACAAACAGATGAAAACCAAAGAAGGAAAGAGGACCTTGGAACACAGGATGTGTTGCTCCAAAAATAACCCCAACAGTAGTTCACACAGCAGAGGAACCCTGATGTAATTCACTGTACAGGAGGTTGGGGGACCATTTAAGTCTTTCCTGATTAGAGGCTCTGTCTGCACACACTCTGCTTCACTGTAGAATAGTTTATATTTCACTTGCTGAAGTCAGGGCTGTTGTTTCAGAGCCTAGGGCACAGGTGAGCAGACAGCATGTCAGGAACCATGTTGCTAAAGTTAAGAACACATTGTTCTAGACGGCTCTGCTTGATTACTGGATAAGATGCACCATGTGAAAACAGTAAATACATCATGTCTTTGAATTCCTGTGTGCTAAACTACATATGTTGACATATGTTTAACTTGAGTATATGCTTCAGTAGGAAACATTTAGTAAAAAATCAGAATTCTTGTCATGATAAAAAGCTCACTGTTGAATCATGTTTGTGCATGTGCGAGCGTGTCCGATCACACTACTTACAAAGAATCCAGTGAGTCACACAAGAACAAAAGACTCAACTTGTACTTCTGTAGTAGACTAGATTGTTATATTACAGTTCTGGTGTATTTGTCTGTTGTCTATGATAGGGGAAGAACTTGAAAGTTGAGGTAAGCTTGTGGGCCTTCTAGGGAAGCCAATCTTTAAAAGGGAATTTGAATGGCTCTTGATATATGATAACAATCTGAGATATGTTACTGTATCTTTAAAAGTGGAGTGTCACATGGAGCTGTGGTTCCCCATCTAGGTTAAAGGTTGCGTTTCATGAATTTAAGAGGAAATCGTGAACACCTAATGATGAACTTGTGGTTGATGTTGCCCTGACAGGGCCTAAAGATGCACACATTGAAATGTGTACTGTGTTTGAATACAAAAACAGGAAATATGAAGCTATTACTCAGTTCTTCTACCAGTTACAACAAAGCAAATCAAACAATGAGAGTTCATTTCATAGAAAAATAGAAGTCTTTATTATAAATTAATGAATTGTTCGTACAAATATAAATAAGTGCAAAGTTGTATCAGTCTGCTTGCTTCGTCAAAACTTCTCAAATATCTTCAAGCATCCACACAGCCAGTGGTTTGGCTGGCAAAAAATGACATCTTTATAAAAGACAAACAGATTTATCATTTCATCTTAGCTCATGTAAACATGGTTTTCAGGAAAATAAGACATGTTTTGACTATTTTCCTCATTAGGAAAAGAGAGATACCAAATGTAATACATTCATTTGCAAGCAGTGACTGTGCCACAAATACTGCCACATCTTTTGGTATATATTTCCTCACCACTGAAGTCATACAAAGGCTTTATTTGCTTAACTCAGTGGTACTTCTTTCTCAAGTAAAACCCTGTAAGATTCAGTCATGTTGGTCTTCCAACTAACTGTTGTCTAGTTCTGACAAATTTGGCATAAACCCTTCCTAAACAAAATATCAAAAACACACCTTCTTTCCACATTGTCTAATCTTAAAAACATCTTTTAAGATTCAGATGAAAAAGTTTAGCCTTTTCACATCATGGTCGTTGCACAATGCACCCAGAAAGGCCATCAGTCTCCACTTATTTGTACTCTGTGAGTTTCCATTGTCTGTTAATGTCCAGCGAACACTTGGCCTGAGGTCCCAGGACGCTGAGATGGACTTGTCCAAGATTACCATTCAGCAAAAAGAAGAAAAAAAAAAAAGAAAAAAGAAAAGCCAGTCTGATCATAAAAGCCACTCCAGCCTTAATTATTGGATCATTTTCTAAGGCTGACGTGTGTGAGCTCAACGGCCTCACAACACAGCGGTTTAGCAGCAGCAGCAGCAGCAGGGGGAACATGTGTGTCACCACACTGTAGACAGCTGACGGTGAGCCTCACTTCAGTTTTTGCTAAGTTTCACGTCATCAGTGAGGCAGAGGAAGACGGTGGAATTATCTCTCTTTCATACCACCAGATTACAGCAGTGCTCTCTTGGCCTTCTTCATCCTAGTCCTCGATCCAGCGTCTCTTTATCTTGAAATGTTAAAAGAGACTCATGCCCCCTTCTCTGTGAGAACTACACATCAGTACAGATCTGCTCCTTTTCACGAGCTCAGTACTGGGCTTCATCCTCGTGACTCTGCTGCATCATTTACTCCTCAGACATGTTTTCACATAGCTGTACTGAAACCGTCCGGCTTCTTCGCAACACTCTTAAGTCTTTGCCCCTTCAAGAGCATCAGTCCAAGACTTCTAGATAGGAGCATCATACTCCTGGAGGAACTCCTTAAGAGGGTGAGGAAGTTGGTCTCTTTTCGAAGAAATGTCCAAATGTCCATTGACTGTTTTCCTGCACAGGTGCTGCAAGGTGGACAAACTACAGGACAGAGGTTTGATGAGCTCCAGAGGGATCCTTTCCCCTCCAGAGTAAATGTAGTAGATACTCCCACTGCGAGTGTTCCCTTTGCTCTGAGGCATGTAGTAATGAACCAGCTTGAGGACACAGTCAAAGTGGGGGACAGAGTGAACGTTCTTGGGGTCTGTCTGCAGGTAAAAAGAGTTTGAGTCACATTGGATTCGCAGGTTCTTTGTGCCCGAGCCTGTCTTGACGCTGAGGGTGAACAGGTGTCGGTTGTCAGAGCTGTCCCGGATGAGGAAGGTGCCCGTGCTCTCTGACGCCAGCATGGAGTTGGCCTCCTTGCCGGTGATGGTGTTCCAGTAGAAGCCGCTGTCCTGGAGCTTTTGAAGCGTGGTCAGGACCATCTGGTACTGCGTCTTGGAGGTGAAAGTCTTGTAACGGTAAGGCAGCCGCATGTTGGAGTCCAAGGGGCTGCTGCTCATTGCGGAGTCAAACTTGCTGTGAGTTACCATGGCGCTGTGCACGCTCTCTGGGCAGTCTGGGGAGCACTGAGTGCAACACAGACAGGAGCAGGTGGGTCAAACGGAGGTTTCGGGGGGTGGGCAAGAAGAGGTCAGGCTGGAAGTGTGTCTGGAAACGAAACACCTGGAGAAGACAAGAGGTGGTGTGAGTTACAGATGACACAAAATGAAACTTCACACTGACCAGATCTGCTTTAATGTTGTCATCACCTACAGCTTTTACTGGAAACTACTTTTGCTGATCTGTGCATCAAACATCTGTGCTGATGACTAGAAACACACACACACAAAAAAATCTACAACCCAACTTGTGTGACTCTTTTGTTGGAGAAGAGTTGTGGTTTTAACAGCAGGCTTGACTAATATGCCTCCATCTGAGTTCCAGCCATTTCGGGGAAACTTTTTTTCGTGTGTGTGAGTGTGTGTGTGTGTAATCTACCCTCGGGAATGAGGCACCACGGTCAGTTCCAGTAAAGACAACGTAATCCTCATTGCGCAATTTACATGCTTCTCTAAACAGTTTACCTCTGTTAGGTAAACACCCGAGACATGACTTATGCACTACTAAACTATGGTTATACACTAATTATAAGCATTATGTTAAAAAAGAAAAGAAAAGAAAAAATCCTCACCTTCAATTCTTGTCCAAACTTCGAGGTTAAATCCAAAAATGCTGGATAGAAAGCTGTTCACGAGTATTCTGATAGGATGGTAAAATGTGTCTGCTTTTTTTTTTTTCTCTAAGTTCTCAGACCACAAACTCCTCGCTGAGCTGCAGTCCGTGCGCTCTGCTGGTGCGCTCAAGAGTTATGAGTGGAGAGCCGGAGGTGGAGCGGAGTCCTCTTCAATGTGAATAAACCCCGCCTCCTCTTCTTTCCAGTAAAGCCTCTCTGTTTGGCAGATTGATAGGAAGCGTGTATTTATTTTGTTTGTTAAGTATTCCTGCTAAGAGAAGTGCCCTCCCCCCTCGCCGTTCTTCCAAAATGAAGTTAGGGAGGAGCTCCAAGCATTTACCTCTAGTAACCCAGAGCATGGTGTCCTATAAACACTTTTTTAGAATAAGATGTCCATCTTTAAGGATCAGCTAAAACACAGATTACATAAGTATACTCCATTATATATTCCTTTCTTTACATATCTAAAGGTTCTGCTTTTCGTCTCAAGTGTGAGGTAATGATTCAGTCCCAATTTGTGTAATCGGTTTCTGAGAAATTCGGCACAAGCAGCTCTCATGTTGCTGTAGCTGCCCATAGAGGGCGCCACAATTGAGGAACTTCATGGAACCTATTTCCCAACAGCTGGTATCCAAGGGCAGCAGGTTATTGTTTACTCTCTGTTGTCAGGTTTTATATCTGGCTTCTATTGCAGCGTCTGGCCATATTTTATGACTGCGTTAAGGTTTCTAAAATTACCCAAACATCTGTAAGAAGTATCTCTCCCCATCTCCACTTTAGGGAAACGTCGTTTTATGTCAGAATATGCAGTTTAGTGTTACTGCACATACAGCTGGGAAGCGCACATGGACTCATAAGGTGTCAGACGTAGTGTTGCAACACTGAACATTTTGTCGTGATGTAAAATTGCTATCCAAACACAGCACTTTATCTCCTGAGCCGAACCGTAGCATTGCAACGTGTCTTAACAAAAAGTTCCCTCAGACAGAACTCAAAATGTTCAGCTAAAAAAAGGAACATACTATAATATTAGCAGATGTACACGTTGATCACTGTATGTATGGGCACATGCGTTAAAAACAGAGAATGAATGACAATGTGGTAAAACACAGCTGTAGTGACAAAGAACAGAACTCAAAAAGCTTCTCAGATGAAAACTGGAATGTCTTTAAGAACCAAAAAGAGAAGTCAAGTTAGACTATTGTGACGTGGATGACTGAGAATCCACACAGACAAACAGAAAATATATTAACAGGATACATTAGAATGTGTCTACATCTATTGTAAATGAATAAATACTTTAATACAGACCCTTTACCTTTTTTTCACTTGATGGTGTGTTATAAACCATTTGATAAATGTCAATAAAGAGTAGAGAAATGTCAAATAGGGGGAGTTTTCATAAATTATTTGAAATGAAAGGATTTGTTTTTTTCCTCCGATCCATTTTGTGGCAATAAATTTGAATATTCTGTCACTGATTTAGAAATTTAAAATGATGAAATGTAGGATTTTTCTTACTTCTCCTATTACACTGGTGATCTTAACTTTATGTACAAGCTTAAGCTTGACATAAGACTTTCTAAATCATCATTTCATATAATTCAGCAAATCATTGGAGGCTGTCTTGAGGAAGTAGGCTGAAAGTGACGCTAATCTTTAGCAATCTTAGTGTGACTGATACAGTACTCATACCATCCACTTCAGTTCCCTCCCTGTTGACTCAGACATGATCATCATCAGTCTCAGGTAGGTGTTTTACTACAGACTAACCCCAGGCTGTGGTGTCATGTCAGGCTTTGACTTCCTTCACCAGCTCACTCATTAATGCTGAGGTATGTAACAGAGAGTCTGAAAAATATTCAGATATCTTCAGCTTCACAGCACAAACTGTCTCAATCCTTGCATTTTGTGTTTTACCAAATCCCAGCTGGGAGCTGGACAAAGGGAGGAGCTTGCGGGCAATAGACTGACGCCAAAGAGGCTGATGGGCTTTGGTAAAGGCCAGCTGTGTCCACAGAGGTGAGTCAGGTGTTGTCTAATACAGACGGCCAGCAGCCGAAGGGGGAAGGGAAATCACTAGGATAGCCTTGTAACAGTCTGCTTGTTTCCAGAAAATGTATTGTGTCATCATTGTGAGGCATCTATTTAGCATCCAAAGTCTCCCCTGGGTCCATAATAGGAGTCAATGAAAGGAAAAGGAGCAGTGAGTTGAGCTGAGCTGGGAAAGAGAAACCCCCACGTTGTGTTTGAGGTCACCACATCTCCATGGAAACCACTATGCACGTTATTACAGTATGCTGACTTGGCTCTTTAATGCGTATGCTGTCATTAAAAAAAAAAAAAAAAAAAAGTTAATTACACTTTTAACAGAATAGAAGGAAAAGTGCAGCATGGAGGAAGAAAAGACCTGTAAGCATAAAATAAAATAAACATACTTAATCAGAGATCAACTGTCAGGAGGTTCCTCATTCAAGGTGGCTGACGAACTGCGTGACCTGAAACTGAGACAGCTTTCTGGCCTCTTGCTGTAGCACACTTTGGGACTTTGGCCAAACATCTGCGCATGTGAGGGTGGGCACTGACAGATTTGGCTCTTTAGTCTATGTGTGTGTGCATGTCTGTCTGTTTTATTTGTAGCAGGTTTATAGAAACTAAACAGTACCCCAAAAGCACCCATTTGTTCATGTTTGTATATTTCTAAATGTGTTTCCAGGCTCATCTGAATGCATTTTGTCTATTTATACTTAAAAAATTAATGAGAATCCACAGGCAAAGCCTGACAAATGTATCCCCCGTGTAGCAGATGAGACAGGGCCTTGCATGATAGCTTGCTGGTCTAAACCACTGTTTAGGGGAAAAGGCAGCTGTTTAGGTTTTCCCACACTGACTCAGAAATTTACTCTAGCTCATGGTTCCCGTAAACCCGCTGGGGATGAGGGCAGGAAAGCAGCCTTTTCTCGACTGGAAAGAGGAGTAAAAAGCAAAAAAATATTATTCAACAAAATATTTTGGAGCTGCTTGCTCTTGCAGAATTCCACCTAACAGGGAGATCTTTGAAAAGTCTTGTGCGGTTTGCCAGTTTTATGAAATAATTTGTGGTGCTGGCAATTGCAAAGGCGCCACTATTGTTTGCACAGCTGAATGCAGTGATCCTGAATTCAGGTCGAGTCAACAGTATCGGTAAATGTTATTTTTGAACATCCTCTGCTATTATGCAGGGTTGAATTTAGAATAAAATCTTTGCTTTCTAAAATCCCAGCTTACCATGAAATGATACTGCATTAAAGGAGAGGGGCTGTAAGAGGAAACCCTGTTGTTTTTTTTTTCCTGTGAGATTGATACAATTCCTTGTATGATTCACATCTGGTAAATTTCTGTTGAATTGTCACTGATGGGCTGAGACATGCTAGGAGGTTCCTGGCATATCAGTCAATCTAATTCCTGTTACCTCTGTATCACTACCATGCACAGCTGTACTTCCTACTTCCTGCCTCTACCTGCTTGTCTTCTTTATTTTGTTGCCACCATTTCTCTGTTTTAGAGCACAGCTATTCACAAATGCATTACTATAAAACTTCCTTGTTGGCTGAGCAAGGCCACTTCTGTGCGATTACCAGTCATCCAGTGATAATTTCCTGGTAACTCTCTCGCTCTCTCTCTCTCTCTCTCGCCCTCTTTCTCAATGTACTGCTGTCAATGTCGTTCTTTGTGCGTTTCTGTGAATTATGGGAAGTGTCATGTTTGACCACCACAGTTGAGAATGCCACAAAACCCAGTGGCAGCATTGTTTTTCACAATACATTCTTCAAAAACTATTCACAGTATGTCCTCACGTTAACAATAAGTGCATATTTACATGTTTACTCTGTTTACTAGAAACACTGTCGGGCAATCTTCAACGGTATGTGGAGCAGTTCCAGGAATTCTCTAAAGAACATTTTGTTCATAAGTGTCAGAGATGCTCATCATGCAGATTGCACAACCCCAGTATTACTCTAACTTTACAGAGTAGAAAACATGGTTGTTAATCATTATTTAGTGTTTCCCACCTTTTGTAGGAAGTGATGGCACCATGTGAGCAGTAAATACTGTGAAGCTCACTGAGAAGTGAATTGTTTTTGAATGTGCACAGGAGTAAGTGCATCTGCTGCAACTCTGTCTGCAGTAGCACGAGTGTTCGCACAAGGCACCGACGTTTCTTTTTTAAATTTAAACCAGCAGGTTTATCATGAACGCGTGCTTTACACTTCATGATCCGAAAAGACGTGACAGTTGGCAACGAAATCTGTCGTAACATTCCGGGCACATGCAGCGCTTTGCATTCCTCTCTGCATGTCACATGGTGTCTATTTACAGCTGTCACAGCCGTCTTCTGGGAAGAGCTAAAAGTAGAACAGAGTGCCATTAACTTGTTCTTTTCACACCCACAAAACCATCCACAGGGATATCCAACAGTCACCTGTTTACCTCATTTTCAATAGCCTCTGGTTTTGCTATTTATTCTCATTTTATTCATCCATCTAATGCATAGATTATTATCTCTGGTCTAAACAGTTGCTTTTTAAGTTACTAAGAATACATTTCTTTATTTTATAATGTACTTTGCATTATTTGACAATGCCCCCGCCAACAAATGAACAGCAAACTTTTCAGCTTCAGGCACTGCTCCAATATTTACATTACACCACACTATGGTTTGCTCCTCGGGTCTCTGCCAGATCTGCTCTTCTCAAGATGAAAGAGGGGAGAGAGAAAGAAAAGTTTGTGATGTGTCAACAGTCATTGTTGTCTCTTTTGACACTTTTTTTTTTTTACAGCCTGTCTTCTGTTCCAGGCTTTTATTTTCCTGGCATAGGCCAATGAGACAATAAAAGGAATGTCATACTGTTGTGATAAGCTGCATCTGAAAGTGTACATGGGTCATTTACCATTTTAGCCATGTGACAGTGAGCTGGGAGCTTCAGCCAGGCCTATTATTGAGACCGCTTCACAGGCTCGAGCCCTGAGAGACCTGCACTAGACTTTCCACAGCCCTGTCTAGCTCACACAATGTGGCACTGACTGATGTGATATCAAAACAGAAGATGTGAAAATGGATTCGGGACATGTGTACTTTTGGAAACATGTGATTCTGTCAGTTTGACTGCACAGTCATTGCGTTG